GATGATTATCGGGTAGTCAAGAAGCTACCAAATCATAAAAGATAAACACAAGTGCATCTTGCAGCCAGACAGAGGGCACAACATCTTGTCTCCGTTTTTAAAAAAAGAAAAATTAGGAAAGCAAACTATTCAAGAGGAAAGAAAGAAGCAATTAGCACTTCCTTTGTTTTGAGGGTAGGGTGGTGCAAAATGCGCTGCTCTCGGTGTGGATTCCGTGTTCACAGACAGTTTCAACAAGAGGAGAAAGCTTTGTATAAATAGATAACTTGGGAAAGACGGCTCAAACATGTACTCCGGTTTATGCTTCTTTTCATAGGCAGAGATGTCTTTAAAATCGAACACTGAAATGGAGCCTTAGCCAGTGTTTCAGCTTTCCTTGAAGCAGGAAAAGTGTAGCTCTCACAGTGAGCTACACCACTGTCTTAGATCTTGTTTTATACAAGATCACCGGTCACGGCTTCACCTTCACAAAGGCTGTCGTCGTTGAAATTGTAATTTAGAGGGGCTCTTTGAATGTTCTTTTAGAGATTTCTAGCAATGCCTTTACAAAACTGCAATTTCTAGTGTGTGGGGAAGAAGGAATGAAACAGGTACTATTAAAACAGTTTAAGTCTGCAGTGTGGACTTGAGATTGAAAAGCGTATAAGAAGTACCTGGATAGTGCTGGATGTCAGAACTGCTGTTCCCACACCACTGCTTGCCAGTAAACCTGGAAGAAAGCATTTGGAAGAAAGCAAGAAAATGAAATCTAAGAAGCATATTTGCATACATTGCAACACTTCGCATAGTTCAGTTGAAGCATGGACTCCATATTGCTTTTCTTCTGTTGTTTTCTTCTTCCTCGTGTAGTATTTGCTTTTCCTTCCACCAAACTGTGGATTTGACTCATATAGAGGTTGACCAGTTCTACTTCTTAATAGCCATTGAGAATAGTTAGAAATGGCCCAGAGCCCAGGCAAAATATTCTTGGGCTCGCTTGGCAACCACTCTGCCCTTGGAGTTCTTGCCTGTTTGCCAGGTCCCTCCGTAAAGTCCATGCATAGGGAATGTGCAGGACCAGGTGGCCCTTGGCATATTATCCTGTCTCTCTGGAAAAGAACAGCTCCAGCTGGGCAACAAGGCCAAACATCCCAGCGTGCTTAGTATATCCCAGAGAGTGCAAGCTGCTCCTCTTGCTTATTTAACCGCCAAGCCCTATTGTTGCCCAAAACAGAACAGAGATCCTTCATAGGGGCAGTATGACGTATTATTAGAATTTTTTAAAGCAAGTGAAGGTTGCAGTCACAACAAAATCAAATATGCGTTCTCTGGCTTTGTCCTAATTATATTTAAGGTTCATATGTTTTTAGCTGACTCTTTGTTACAAAACCAACAGGAGGAATTTAAACAAAGCATTGAGTGGCTGATCAGAGGAAAGATGCAAATTCGAACTGTCACACATTATGTTTTGTTGTTGTTGTTGTGTTGTTGTTGTTGTCCTATGTGCCTGTTGGGGGTTGGAGGGGGAAGAGAAAAGCTGAGCAATCATCTTGCAGTTGGTGAGTAAATGTGGATCATGGTGCTCAGCTACACCAAATCAAACTGGAAGTAACTAGGCAGTGGGTCTGAAGACTGTAGGCCAAACATGCTTTGCTACTTTGAGGGTGAAGACAACAGGAGACCCTCTTGGACTTCGTAGAAAAAGTTACATTCCAAGTGCAGTTGTTGATGCGACAACCTCCATTGGCACTTGGTTGCTGCCAGAGTGAAGGCACAAACGGTACTTTTTTTTTTTTTTTTTGAAATTCAGGATTCTGTACATGTTTTGAAATTCTTTCCTCGAAGATCACAAAGGCTGATTGAAACCTAGAAGGATACCACTCATTATTCTCTTCGTTTTTACTTGTAGATTGTGTTCGAGGGAATTATAAGCAAAGGACATTCAGGAGAGATTGCCATCGATGATGTCCGGATAGGCACTGATGCCTCCTTAGAGAACTGTATGGGTATGTAAATATGCGTCTCCTGTGTAGTAATCGGGTAGTAGGAAGCAAAAAAATTAATTTGCCTGCAGTAGGTCAGGCATGAAGAAGAGCCTCGTGGCGCAGTGGTTAAACCGCTGTACTGCAGCCAAAACTGTGTTCACGACCTGGGGTTCAAATCCCAGGTAGCCGGCTCAAGGTTGACTCAACCTTCTATCCTTCTGAGGTCGGTAAAATGAGTACCCAGCTTGCTGCGGGGGCCATGTGTGTCGCCTGCATAATTAACTTGTAAACCGCCCAGAGAGTACTTGAAGCACTATGGGGCGGTATATAAGCAGCACACTTTGCTTTTGCTTTTTTATGTCTGAAAGGAGACCAGCTGTGTTGAGAGTCCGAGGTAGTACTGAGGATGCTGGGTGATGAACAGCACAGTACAGAAACATCTGTCTGTAGGCCAAAGTACATCTGCAGTTGGAATAAAACAATCCAGTGTTGTTTTCTCCATGTCCATTTCACACAAAACAACTGTTGCATGGAAACTGCATGAAGTGGCCTGCCTGTGGTGATGGCTGCGTGTGGCAACCCTTCTTGGCTGCATCCAGCAATTCATGTCCTCCGCTGACATTTATGCCCATGCTGATGCAGGCATTGTACTTCATGGAGCAGCTGTGTGACGCAGGTGCTGTTCTGAAGTGTCTTTGTGTGGCAGCTATTTCAGAAGAAACAAGCTTTCGATGTGCTCTTTTTCCAAGGATCTGGTACCATTCTTTCTTCCTCTTGGGGTAATCCTCCATTTCGCCCCAGAGCAAAATGGGTGGTCCTGGTTCCCAGAGTGCTTCAGCAACAACAGAACACAGCAGAATCTGGAGGTGACTCTGCCCCATCTTATCAACCACTTGGCGCACCTGTGAGAAAAGTGCTGGTGACTGTTTTGCACAAAGCGCCCATGAATGTTAACACAGTTTGTGAATCTAACACTTTGGCTGACTTGCATAGATAAACCTCACGTTTTGGTGCCAAGATTACTGTGAAAGACTTATTCCTAGATACGTCCTAGATATGTTGACTCAGAAGTTCCATTCATTTTAGTGGGTCTACTCTAATTAGGACTAAACTTGGATTTAGTTCAAAGCCAGAAGGCAAACTATGGCAACCACTGTACACAGGTTGTTGCAGTTTTATGTGTGGCACACTGCATCTTTCTATGCTTTGCTCTTGGGTATAAAAGAACAACTTCTCCCTGTACAAGATGTGTGTCACTGACTTTCACAGCAAGAAGAGAACCAATGGCTGAGAGCAGTGGAATTAATAGGAATCCAATTGCCTTATTGCAAATAACAGCTTGCAACAGATTTCCTCTTACATAGGAATCATTCCTGTGTTGAAGGGGCCAACAGATCAATGTTTGTCTCTGCATTTGTTAAGCAGACAGAACCCAGGCCTACTTTTTACTTCTGGAGAATGTCAAAGAGAATGAACACAAGTCATTGTAGTCTTACTATGAACAATGTGTGTCTCTGTGATGGAAGGGGAGAGCCCAAGTAGTATTGGCACAATGCAGAAATTTAGTGGCTTAAAAACTGCTAACTACACAGTGGAAAAAAGTTCAGGGACCTACAGAACAAATTTAGTTTTAAGTTTCGCCTCAGTAGACCACCCTTTATTGCTTAGTTCTCCTCAACTGGCACTTACTGTCTCAATAATTCACTCAGGTACACTGGTAAGAGAAAAGAATAGAAAGGAGTTCAGATTTACTCATAGTTCAGAGATCAAAACAAATGGCATTTTGTAGAAAAATATTAACTGGCTACATGAGCAGAGCTTAAGTGGTTAACTAGCTTCATGACTAACTGACTGAACTGAATACTTCTGACTCTCTGACAGACAACATTGCTCTAACTCTTCAGACTGTTTGACTAAAATGAGTGCGAAAAAAAAGATTTAAATAGAGAGGCATGGCTCTCTTCAAAATTTGAGGCAGGGAGAAAACAACTGGATGCTGCTGGATTGATTGACATTCACTCCAGTTCAGAAAGGTCCCCCCAAGCCAAAACCTCTTAAAGGCAACATAAGAGGGTGCAATAATCTCCAGAAATTGTAGGTGTGAGATTCCCAAGAAAAAATGTGCAAGAGAAAAAAATTCAACGGTTAGTTAGCATTAACATACTTGGAAGGGTTGATCAACTCAATGGGAGCATTTTATTAATGAAAAATAATCAGTGGGAACTCTTAGAGCATTATTAATAACAACAAAGCAGATTTCTGCTCTGGAATTCATCAGTCTGGGAGCTGGGACAGAAGCCAGATAGAAAACTTTGCTGCAAGGGCTATGAAGTGTTTTGATTTGAAAATAAAAGGGAGGGAAGGAAAAAAAAAAGCCAAAACGTTATAACAAAAATGCTGTCCTTCCTTTGTTGCTTGCCTGCCCAGTCCATCTGTTACTTTTCGCCTGTTATGAAGCTGATCAAGGGCTGTAGATTTTTATTTAATTATCACACTGAGATCCCAACCTGTCTCCAAGAATCTCAAGCTCATGTCCCTGGAATCATCTGTCCTGTGTTACCACAGCAACTCTCTGATGCTTAGGCTGGGAAATGGACTCAGGATTCTCCAGAGAAATTCAAAGGTGAATTGAGCGAAAGGTTTAACCAGGGTTCCATTGAACAACGTTGAGCATTCTCTCCATCAGATCACAGTAGTTTTCTACATCAGATAGAGTCTGATTTCAGGTTAGCCTGATCTCCCTCATTTACTATTATAATTCAAAGATCTACTAACTAGAGTGTATTGCAAAAACATGCAAGTGGGCTCAAGGATTTGCTACAAGTACTGTAATAGGTTTAAGTTGAGCTCTCTGTCTGGTCTTTGTTACCCCAGTTTAGGTGAGAGAGGTGAGTCATGCTGTTGTTGCCATCGCTAAACCACTGAGGCATTGAAATCTTTGCTGATCTAATGCTAATCTACCAGTTGATCCTAATCTGTCTTCTGCAGAGCACAGCTCTGTATAGAGCCCAGCAGCTGGTTCCATCTCCCCGATGTTTATTCGTGCATATTTCAGTATCACAACAGCATTGAATGAGCAGTTGGGGATAGACTGTGCAAAACGTCTGCTTTGCCCTGTCTCTGTTGCTGTCAGGAGTCCATGGAAAGGGCCTGGCACCTCTCCAGTTCATAGCTGTCTAATTATCACAAACAGTGGCATCTCCCCCATTGATCTGGATGGAATTGGTTCACAGTCAAGGCTAGCAGAGTATAGCAAGTTGAACACCTGAATAGGAAAGGACTCCTGAAGTGAAGTTCCTGTAAACTGTAAGAATGAGGTCCTACCTCTTGCAGACTTCCAAAAGGAAGCAAAGTGGCCAAAACCCAGCCATTGCTCCTTTAGGAACAGACATGCTGTTTTTCTGGGTTTGACAACCCTCCTGGAACTCTGCTGATCTCTAATCTGTTTATGCTTCATAATGGCAAAAATACAATATATCAGTATTTCCAAACAGTTTTAATCTCTCTGCCTTCAGAGGTCACCATCACCATCAATGATCAACATTGCTTATAACAGTTCTCCATTGTTTTGCAATGTTTTTGCAGGCAGGGTTCAAAACAAAAACAATTTCAGTGTTTAAATAGTTTATCTAAAATGTTTACAAATGGTCATTAGTGGTCTGGGAGTCAAATGCTCCAGAAAAGCCAAAAATATGTAATTTCTTGCAAATAAACAAACAGATATGCAGCCAATGTTCCTTTCGTGCTTGATATGCACAGGGTCCCAAGATCAAACCCGTGTTTATCTGGCAGAGAAATCTGGGTGCAAAAACTCTGCAGGAAATTCTGCAGAGTTGCTGTCCATTGAGGCCAGTAGTTCCCAACCTAGGGTAACCCAGACATTATTGGACTACAGCTCCCAGAAGCCTTCACCAATAACTGTGCTGGCCAGGGTTTCTGGAAGTTGTAGTCCTAGAACACCAAGGGACACAAGGTTCGGAACCACTGGTCTAGGCAGATGATACTGGGACCAATAAGTAGTCCCAGCCTACGATGAAGCAGCTGCCTGTGTTTTCATGAGCCATACCTCCCCAGGGTTTTTGCTTGGAATCCATTTCTATATCTTAGGACATGTCAGGTAATAATTCTGAACACATGCAGAATATTTTCCCACTCCACTGAAGGCAAAGCAGTGGTACCATACCTTCAGGATGGCAGGGGTGAGGAACATATGATTTCTGGGCAAGCTTGGGACACCACTGTCCTTACAGTAAGGAAGTATTTGCCATGAAATAAGCCACCGTTAAATGATGTTGGGTAGTTCCACACCAGGCAGAAATGTTTTGGATAGACTGATGCCTTCTTACAGCAGGAAGCAAATGGTGGGTGTCTTTGAAATGCTCGTCGTTTAGTCGTGTCCGACTCTTCGTGACCCCATGGACCAGAGCACGCCAGGCCCTCCTGTCTTCCACTGCCTCCCGTAGTTGTGTCAAATTCATGTTGGTTGCTTCGCTGACACTGTCCAACCATCTCATCCTCGGTTGTCCCCTTCTCCTCTTGCCATCACACTTTCCTAACATCAAGGTTTTTTCCAAGGAGTCTTCTCTTCTCATCAGATGGCCAAAGTACTGGAGCCTCAGCTTCAGGATCTGTCCTTCCAGTGAGCACTCAGGGTTGATTTCCTTTAGAATGGATAGGTTTGTTCTCCTTGCAGTCCAGGGGACTCTCAAGAGCCTCCTCCAGCACCACAATTCAAAAGCATCAATTCTTCAGCGGTCAGCTTTCTTTATGGTCCAGCTCTCACTTCCATACATCTTGCTAGTCTATATGAAATGCTACGTATGTACATTTACCTGCTAACTGGACTGTCTTTCGTGACATGTCCAATGGTCTTGTGCCCGTGAAGACTTGCACAAACATTTGTTCCCGCGTCCTCCCTTTTCTTTTGATTGGTCTCCCCAAGAAAGAGAGACAGTGATTGTTCTGAGATTCTCCAGTGCAAGTAATGCAAGTATGTGGCCCATGCTGATATATTTGGTTTAGAAAAAGCTAATATTGCGAGAACGATGGCTGTCTTGCCTATTTTGTAAGACTATAGAATTCTCTTGAGGAGCAAGCTAGAAATGATGGTGGCTTATTTATTTTTTTAAATAGAAGCAACTAGGGTGACAGATTCTAGTTAGGACTCATTGCAGTGCGGGTGGGAAGTGCAACTATTTGTCTGTTAAGTGAGTTCTTTTGTTGCATCACTGCTGCATGTGAAAGAATAATGGGGTATTGGCATTCTCTGCCCTTCTCCTATCCTCAAGATTGTAAAAAGAGAGAGCAAACGGGAGCAGCAAGCGCCTGTTTTAAAACGGTAATCTAAAAAAGTAATCAGATTCTTTTTCGACTTCAGAAGAAGATCCAATAACTCACAATATATTTTCTCTCTTTTGGCAAACCTGTCACATTCTTTCTGTGGCACCCTGCTGAAACTGCAGTCAAGTCAGGAATCTACTTTTCCCTGGGAAAATACAGAAATAATCGAAAAACAATCAGACAAATCTTTTTTCTTTAGGAAAGTAACTAGTAAGCCGGGATGAATTTTACTTTTCTGTCCTACTTACTTGTAACAGATTAATACTACCTGGGAGTGGTAGTTCTTCAGGAGGTGCACTTTATTTATTGAGCCTAAGAGAAGCTTCAGGAAGGCAATGTTTATGTAAGTCACACTGATTCAGTGGTCGAGTAGCCCCATCAAGAGCAAACCATTTGAATCAATGGGACCTTGATCAACTTATATATATTCACCTGACTGAATGGGTCTGCTTTAGTTGATAGGTAATCTCATAGACATCCAGGTCCCAAGCAGTTTAGGGGTTTAAAGTTTAAGACTAAGACCTTGCATTGGGCCTAGCAACCAAGTGTCAACCAGTACATGTCCTTCAGTATCAGAATCATATGATCACAACACCATGCACCACTAAGCAGTCTAGGCACCATATGTTGCACAGTTGAAGATCCTGAAGAGTAGCAGCTCTCGCCGCCGCCCGATAGAGTGCATTGCAATAGTCAGGATGTGGTGTACCTAAGGCATGGATGACTGATGCCAAGCCTTATGAAAGAGGTTCTTGTGAATTTTAATCATCGATTTAGCCACTAGGACTAACTGTGGAATCTATAATTTGCTCTCTTGGTAATACTGAATTTCAATTCTTCTCGTTATTTACAGAACCTATTGCAGCTTTCCCTGGAGAACACACTTATGAAATTTCAGGTAAAATGCATTTATAGTTCCCCCCCTTATTGCATGATTTCATTTTTGATTTTTGCCTTTTATTTTTAAAGAGGAATGTGTGTGTAACAAAGCAACAACAAAACTAACACATGACTGCTGCTATGCAAGCTGTTCACATCTGCAATATGCCTTCAACATCAGCACGTGGCACTAGACCAGATGCAGTCTTGGAGTGAGGGGATTAATAATAAGAATCCAGTCTTTTGGTCAGTAAAATAGGGAAATGTCCTTTTTCTTTTCTTTTCTCTTTTTAAGTTGCCTTTCTTGGACCAGTTTTAGCTGCTTGAAAGTTCTTAAACTGTACAAGTTTCTATATCAGCCATAGATCTTTGGACTCACTATGACATTTAAAGCGCGGGGGGAGGGGTTGTTGTTTGTGGAGGCATGGCTGTGTTCTTCTGTAATGTTTTGTGGGCACTGTAGTGTTCTGTGGAAAGAGAACCAGGATGGGGATGGGCCAAGTGGTTGCCATCCACCCTGGGCAACATCTTGCTAGTCTATATGAGAAGCTAAGCATGAATGCTCCCAGTTATTTTTCAGTCAAGGACATCTTACCGTCTTGAGCAGCTGTGTGACAGGCAGAAGTTCAAATGGTGCATCGCTAAATCTCTGCGCTGGCAATTGTTTCAACCTGTTGAATTTTTGCCCTGTCACACAGATGTTTGAGGCACCAAGAGTCACAGATGGTGCTTTTCGTGGGGTGAGTGGTGGTGATGGACTATAAATCAGAGGATACCCAGGTCAGCATAGCCTGTGTCCGTACTGACTGGAGTCTTCTGGTAACTGTGCTTCAAGAAAGGAGTGTGCCTCATCTTGTTGGTCATACCTGGTAAAAAGTACCAATCTGTGTTGATTTTCATCGTTGGCAGGGGTTACTTTGGGAGCTCTTACCTGGGTGGCTTCCTCTGGTAGTACTGGAGAGGAAAGGCGAGGCACCCCGTGTCTCTTGCCTGCCTAGATCAGAGGAGCAGGAACAAAGGCCCAAGTTTTCTCAATCCACCGTGCCCCTTGTTTCATTGTGGCTTAACAACCCAATCAAATGTCTTTTTCAACAGGGACTTTAGAAAGGTATTTAAGAACGTTAGATTTAGCTCGTGGGCCTACCTCAGCAGCAACACCCCAATCCAGCAGAATTCAGGCCAACTAATAATAGAGATAAATAAGGATGCCGATGAACTCCTCTGCCTTTGTAGTGTCTAGGGAGGAGCAGTGAAGCTTTGAGATGTAAGACTGGGGGAATAACTGGCAACCACTGAGAGGCTTAACCCAAAAATCAGCAGTGAATTAGAAGTGCAATGAGGTGGGAATGATGAATATTTAGCGTGGAGCTGTTTTTCCTTTCCAGCCAACAAATACCAAGGCAGGGGCTGTACTAGAGAGGGACGAAGAGAGATTGAAACACAGCAACAACTGTCACCCTGAGTTTGAAGGCTGACATTTAGTAAAAGAGAAGCAGGGTGAAATGGTGCATTTAATCGCTTAATGCTGGCCTGAAGAAAATAAAATGGGATGCCTCAAGTTGATAAAAACCTGTAGAGGGAAACAAAAGGAGAAAAGACTTCAGAGAGGCTGTCCTCCTCATTAAACTTGTTTCTAAGTCAGTGGAGATGCGGGGGGGGGGGGGGGNAAAGAGGAGGCAGCTCCTTTTTATCTGGAGCAATTTTTAATTTTGTTTCATTGTGTAATGCTTTCTGCCTTTCACCTGTGGGAAAGAAAATCCCAGTGTGGCAAAAACATACATACAAACAAACAAACAAAAAACAAAGCAGAGCATCCTGCTTTTATTAAATCATTCCTTTTTCATTTATTATTGGAGAGACTTGCTTTTTCTCAAGCACTCTCTCAAACGAGAGCTTTGACTTCCAGAAGAGATCTGTTTTGTTTTTGGAGGTGGAAAGAAGTTGATTTCTCTTGTTGAAAAACTGTTTGCAAAGCCCTTTGTGATAAAAACCCAAAGATTGGGGGATAATCCAGTGCAGTTGTGGACAAATGGTGTGCTGCTCTCCAGGTTCATGACAGAATTTGTTTAGCAATCCAACTGTGATTATTTTAATGCCTGGATTTTTGTGTCTCATATATTAATTTCCAACCAAAGAGTAGCTCTGTCCCAAGTTTTGTTGCTTTGGTAGAAGCTTCACCAGCTGCTAATGTTGCAGAGATGTTATACTAGCACTGTGAGGCAAATACTCCGAACTGGATTCCTCATTAATTAATAGCAGCTGGTTAAATTGGGCCGTGACATGACAGCTGCAAGTCACCACATGCATAATATGTTCCTTGGAACCTGGCTGTACCGGTCTGCCTTCCGTCCTCTCAGGCCCTTCTACATTCCCTATGCTTATCCTGAATTCAGATGCCACCTCTGCCTTCCCTGCTTTTATGTATCTCTCCATGTCTTTAAGTAGGAGGAGTCCCAGGTAGTGGAGAGAGCAGAGCAGGGTACCCACTGCACCTAAGAGCAGGAGATACTGGTAGACAGCCAGCTCAGATCTTGAAATTTGGACAATGTTTTGGATGTCCAATAATAATAGTAATGATGATAATTATGACGATGATTATGCATTTGTATAGGTTAAGATGATTTCTTTCGTTTTTAAGAATCCTTAGCCTGGAGGCTCTTGAAGTACATATAGCACTGACCATGAATGTTATGATCCATTCTGAGTTTGAGCAAGGTAGAACCAGACATGGCGGGTCCTGTGCTCTCCAGAGAACTCCGTTTGAGTTGAGCAGCAGTTAGAGAGCTAGTAGGCCTCTTGCAGGGCTGGTATGTGCCCTGTGGCTATATCGGGTCGGTGCATTTGTTGAGGGGGCACAGTCTTATATTGGCCTACAGAGGAGCAAGAGGAAAAGAGCAGCATGCTTCAGGCATCCCCCTTTTCTCCTTCTTCCTCCAGCTGGGGAAGACAAAACTTAAAATACGATTTGATGACTAGTATGATCACTTCATACTACTTCATACTGTTGAACTATGTAAAATCTTAAAATATGAGGCTATTAAGACGCTACACTCAATATACCAGCAAATTTGGAAAATACAACAGTAGCCAGAGGACTTGAAAAGATCAGTCTATATCCCAATCCCAAAGAAGGGCAGTGCCAAAGAATGCTCCATCTACCGTAGAATTGCATTCATTTCACATGCTAGCAAGGTTATGCTCAAAATCCTCCAAGGTAGGCTTCAGCAGTATGTGGATTGAGAACTCCCAGAAGTACAATCTGGATTTCGATGGGGCAGAGGAACTCGGGATCAAATTGCTAACATGCACTGGATTATGGAGAAAGCCAAGGAGTTCCAGAAAAACATCTACTTCATTGACTACACAAAAGCCTTTAACTGTGTGGACCACAGCAAACTATGGCAAGTCCTTAAAGAAATGGGAGTGCCTGACCACCTTATCTATGTTCTGAGAAATCTATATGTGGGACAGATTGCTGGAAGAAATATCAACAACCTCAGATATGCAGATGATACCACTCTTGTGGCAGAAAGTGAGGAGGAATGAAAGAACCTCTTAATGAGGGTGAAGGACGAGAGTGCAAAAAATGGTCTGAAGCTCAACATCAAAAAAAAAACTAAGATCATGGCCACTGGTCCCATCACCTCCTCGCAAATAGAAGGGGAAGATATGGAGGCAGTGACAGATTTTACTTTCCTGGGCTCCCTGGTCACTGCAGATGGTGACAGCAGCTATGAAATTAAAAGACGCCTGCTTCTTGGGAGGAACGTGATGACAAACCTAGACAGCATCTTAAAAAGCAGAGATATCACCTTGCCGAGAAAGGTCCGCATAGTCAAAGCTATGGTTTTCCCTGTAGTGATGTACGGAAGTGAGAGCTGGACCATAAAGAAGGGTGACCGCCGAAGAATTGATGCTTTTGAATTGTGGTGCTGGAGAAGACTCTTGAGAATCCCCTGGACTGCAAGGAGAACAAACCTATCAATTCTAAAGGAAATCAACCCTGAGTGCTTACTGGAAGGACAGATCCTGAAGCTGAGGCTCCAATACTTTGGCCATCTCATGAGAAGAGAAGACTCCCTGGAAACGACCCTGATGTTGGGAAAGTGTGAAGGCAGGAAGAGAAGGGGATGACAGAGAACAAGATGGATGGACAGTGTCATTGAAGCGACCAACATGAATTTGACTCAACTACGGGAGGCAGTGGAAGACAGGAGGGCCTGGCGTGCTCTGGTCCATGGGATCACAAAGAGTTGGAGACAACTTAACGACTAAACAAAAACATGATCACTTCAGCAAAACACAAAGACTCAGGTCTGCTCCTTGCAAACACCTTTCTTCAGACAAGGAAAAGAGGAACAGAATATAGAAGAGGACTCAGTTAGGTGGACCCCCTGTTTTCAGGCTGCAGTGGTATACCTACATACATGGGTAGGAAGGCCAGTCTGCATCCTGTCTTAGGTTCGCCAAATCTTTATGTTGGATGGACTTGCTAGGCAAGTGCAGAACAGAAACAAAAACAGCATCCCACATTCATTGAAGGTAGAGTTTGGGAATGCCAGCTTAAAAGTAATTTTGTTGAACATATGAGGTTGTATGCCCTGAGGGGTGGATTTTATGAACCTAGCTGAGCTGGGTGCGCTTTCGCTCTGCTATGTTTTCCTGTGTGAAGCACCTTAACCTGACAGAAGCCCAGGCACACCTGTAGTCGGCGGCGGCACAGCTCTGAGCGATTCATATGCAGTGCCTTGCATGTTCCAATTGAAGGGCACCGGATGGCTTCCACAGGCCATCTCGGTGTCAGAAAAGATTGTGCCGATATTTTGTCAGAGTCAGTAGGATTGCCAGGCTTTATCCACCAACAACTTTCCTAGCTTGAAGCCTGCCAGTGTGTCAGGAGACAAGGCAACTGTGGTTCTCCTTCCCTCCATGTGCACATCTCACCTGTCCTCCCCCTGAAGACAGGTGAGGTGTAGACATGTTTCAGTATCCATCCTAACCATTTGGAACAGGATTCCA